TGTGCTGAAGAAAATCCGCACTGCATACATGAGGTGCAGGTTCAAGGTAGATGGAGTCTTAATGTTTGGTGTGGTATAGTTGATGGAAAGATCGTATGTCCATATTTCTTTGATAGAACTTTAAATGGCGAAACATATTTGGATTTTCTGGAAAATCAGTTGTTTGTTTTATTGGAAGATATTTCCTTACAAACAAGAAGAGATATGATATTACAATATGACGGGTGTCCTGCGCACTTTTCCAGACGAGTTCGAGATTATTTGTATGCAAGTTATCCAAATAACTGGATTGGAAGGGAAAGTATATTTTCATGGCCAGATAGATCTCCAGACTTAGTGTACCAAACTTGACCAACCACGCGAGACGACATGAAACAGCACATTATAAACGCAATAAATAGTATATCAACAGCTGAGATTGAAGCAGCTGTTATGTCTACGCGCGAAAGATTACATCTTTGTGTGGACAACGATGGAAAACAATTTAAACATTTAATTTGACATTAAGTTTTAATGATCGAGATATTTGTATGATCTTTCACATATTTAATTTTAATTTATAATACAGGGTGAGTCAATACTATACTTACTTATGTTTATGCGTTCGACAAAAGCTATCAACATTCTGTTTGCTCCATTTTGTTAAGAATTTAATCCAGTTCCATTATAATTTACAATAGATAGGTGTTTCCATTAAACATTTTGAAGAAAAACAAATTTTAATTTTTTCTATTTGAAAGTACCCTCTATCCATGACAATTAAAACTAAATGCAATTGTTTTATAGTAGATATACATTAAATCATCCACACTCTTTCTAATAACACTAATTTCGTTAAAATTAGTTGATTCAAACCAAAGTTATAGGTATTTATCCACAAATACTTTGCCACTCTCCCCCACCCTTAATTTGAAAAAAATATAAAAAAGTTCTTTAACAACTTTGTGAGGAATTTAGGCCTCTTTCTAGTTTCCTTATTTAACATTTGGTATAATTGGGCATATTATAACATGTTATAAGTTATAACATGAATAGTTTCTGATATATAGCCGAGAGATCGGCTTATTGGACCACCCGGTACAGTAAGACCAATTATTGTATTTATATTAACTCAGTCGTCACATACGAAAATGCCATTCAACCTCTAAAAAACATAGGAGCTGAATTTTGCTGTGGATACCAATTTTTTTTCAAAAAAAAAGGGTGATCAACTGTGGTGTAAAAAATATAGAGCCATTACTCTGTTAGCATCTGCGTTGTTGGTCAATATGAATGCGGATTTACTGCTGGAAAGTCGACTACAAATCAAATTTAATCACATAGGCAGATTCTACAAAAGTCACTAGAATATAACATAGATACAAAACATCTCTTCATTGACTTTAAAACAGCCTAGGACAGTTTAAAAATCTGCATTATATATTGCAATGATAGACTTTGGGATCCCACCTAAGTTAGTTAAGTTGACCCAACTAACAATGCAAAACGTAAGCTCATGCTTTAGAGTTGAAGGAGAAAACGCGACGTTCTTTGACGTTAATAATGGTCTAAGACAGGGAGACGCATTGGCGTGTTTCCTCTTTAATATTGCCTTGGAAAAGGCAATTAGACAAGTAAATATTAGAATGAATGGAACTGTTTTTAATAGATCGACGCTAATTCTCGCATTCGCTGACGATATAGTAAGATATAGTTATAGTAGGCAGAAGTAGGAGAGACATGGTGCAGTGTTTTACTGGGCTTGCGGACGCAGCAAGTGAATTAAGACTTATGGTAAACGAAGAAAAAACTAAATACAGGTTGGTTTCTTAAAATCCTCGAAATATCCAACAGAGAATTCAAATTAAAAACCATACCTTTGAGCAAGTCACATAATTTACATGTCTTGGATCGTAAACGCAACAAACACGACAAGCGACGAAATAAAAAGACGCATACCTATAGCAATAGCAAACAGAACTGTTCACGGTCTCCAGAAACATTTAAAAAATAAAAATATAAAAGGTGCAGTAAAGCTTAATATATATATATATATATATATATATATATATATATATATATATGTATATATATATATATATATATATATATATGTATATATATATATATATATATATATATATATATATATATATATATATATATATATTATATATATATATATATATATATATAGACCCTAATAAGACCGGCTTTATTATATCGGGCTGAAACGTGGACCTTATCTCAAAATAACGAAAGGTTTTGTGGCATTTTTTAAAGAAAAATTTTTATAAAGATTTTTGGGGCTGTAAATGAAATTAGTCTATGGCGTTGAAGATACAAGTTTGAACTATATTAGTTATACACCGATCCAAATATTGTGAAATTCGTTAAAGTGCAGAGACTTAAGATGGGCTGGACACATTGCTAGGATGTCAGATCACGAATACATGAAAATATTAACATTTTCAAAACCAGAGAGCACAAGAAGCAGAGGACGACCACGAATGAGATGGATTGATGATGTTGAAGAAGACCTACAGATTCTAAGGCAGGGGTGTCCAACTTGCAATGCCTCAAGGGCCAAAACTAAATCCTTTGATGTTGTCGCGGGCCATATAATAATTTTGTTACAAGTAATAACAAAATAAAGTGAGGTATAAAATAATTAAAACAAAAAAGAGTATTATTTCTTTTAATGCTCAACAACTACATTTTTTTGATAAACGGAAAATTTATTGACAACACTTTTCAATAATCAAGACAGACATTACAAAAGCAACGAAAAATATGTATCCAATTAGTGTGAGGACTGTGGTCGATCGGCTTTATCCACCAATGAAGAAATGTCCACCTCCAGTTCAGTTGTAGACACTCTCATATAATGACATAAGGAAGAATCGGTAAGGTTGCTTCTGTTTTTATTTTTTATGTATTTCATGAAGGAAAAGGTACTTTCACATGTATATGTGCTTCCGAACATTGACGTCATTTTCAGTCCAAAATCTCGAAGGTTTGGGAATTTCTCCTTTGACAGCAATTTGAAAAACTCAGATCCCTTTTCTTTTCTGGTGATTAGGAACATGTCTGCTTGAAAATCACATAACTCAAGCTGTAAGTTGGGTGGTTAATCGTCAATGGTTGCTCCAAGAGGGTTATTATAAAGTAATACACTGCTTTTGAGACTTTCAATTTCTTCAAATCTTGTATTGAATTCATCAATAACTTGTTCAATTTGTGAAATGCAAGACGACAACTTAATATTTTGAGTAAATTCTGTAAATTTGTAAAAAAATTCTGTTCCCACTATCAATTTTCCGTTTTACTGGTTTTACACTCATTATTGTATAAGAGGAATCAAGACAAAGAATTAATCAAGTTCACTGTTCATTAGCAACGTAATAGATAATCATTGCACTTCTCATAGTGGTGGAGGACGATTGTGTTCGTTACACGTCCGCGAAGCGGCACACGGTACAGTACTTGTGATGTAAATACACTGCTAAACCATAAAATATAAAATAAATTAAAAAATCTTTTTTCACAGTGGCAGCATTTAAAGAAAATACATGCTTTTCGAAAATCTTACGTGGGCCACAACAAATAGCCTCGCGGGCCGGATGCAGCCCGCGGGCCGCCAGTTGGACAACCCTGTTCTAAGGGTTAGAAGTTTGAGGGAAGTTGCCAGGAATCGACAAGAGTGGCAACTTCTTTGTGAGCAGGCCCAGATCTACAATGGATTGTCAAGCTACTTATAATGATGATCAATTTTTTTATTTAGTTTCTTGTGTGTTATAGGAAGAGGAGACATATAATTTGAGACAAGAGGAGGATAAACATCACCAACTCGCAGACAATACTTATAACGCAAGAGAGGTAGATAAGGAGGTTACGTCTTCGGACACTAAAAAAACATACACTTTTGATCTTTAACAGTGCCTCCTAACCCAATTTCTGAGAGAGTAGAACATTACATTTGGCACATAAACTGGGATTAGTGTGACCAATTATATGCCTGTGAGTAAGTTATTAATGTCCTAGCAGACGTTTTACATATATTTTTGCTTCTCGAAGTTTTAAAATTTAACAACTGTCCTATTGGTTTTGTCACAAATTATCAACCTTCATTTTAACAAATGATTTTAAGTCATTTAGTACCACATTTCTCACTTCACTAGCAGTTTCACTGTTTCTTGCTTATTGTGCAACGGTTTGGTTGCTGTTTTGTATGGTAGCTATTTCTTTTTTAATAAGGAGAGCAATTTGATTGTGTAAAGTTTGTTAATGCTGTTGATGGAACTGAGAGAAACGGTACCTAATTATATGGGCATTGTATATATTACTGGAATTAATATGAAGGAGAGCTTGGTAGATGGCATATAGCTCGCCAAACAGCTTAACGATTGTATTTTATACTCAAGTATAATATTTGAAGGAACGACAACTGCCCCAACTCAAATATATGTTTTAGATGCGTCTGTGTATAAGTGATAGAAGTTAGAAAATTATGTGAGTTTATTGATGAAAATACTTTTTATTAAGTAGTAGGGAATATCGTTAGAGAGTATCGTATTGAGAAACGCTTATTGTCCAAGGAGGAGGAATTTTTATAAAGTTGGAATAGCTATTTGGTATCAAAATTTGTAAAGTTATAAGAGTTTGTCTAACTCTTTTGTATATTGGTGGTTTTACATTCTCATTTTCAGTATATAAGATTTTAAAAGATCAATACCTAAATTACTTCTAGTTTGGTTTATCGGATAAGACTTAGCGGCAGCTGTATATGTAAGAGTTAAGTGCATCCTTATATATTTAAGTGGTGGCTCTTCAGTTTCTGCTTGCAAACTTTCTATTGGGCTGGTCCGGAATGTCTATGAGAGTTTTCTATCAAGAAATCTCAAAATGTGTTTTAAATATTAAGAGTGCAGCTTTACTACTTAAGTTTTGAATTTTGCCACAAAGAGAACCAGTTTCTATAAAGCTGGTACATAAATAAAGAGATGAGAAATAAGATAAATAAGAGATATAAGACATAAATAAGAGATAATAAGTAGTAAATACTTTCATATACGTTGGGCCCCTAATAAAAAATGACGGAGGGTGTGACAAAGAAACGTGACGAAACGTGTACCTTAAAGAAAGCGGATAAAAATAAACTGGACGCTTTTGAAATGTGGGTATACCGCCGCATATTGAGAATATCTTAGATTGATCATAGCACTAACGTATAGATACTAGAACAACTTACAGTAAAGGATAGATTGCTTAAACAAATACAACAGAGATATTTGCAGTATTTTGGACACATTGCTAGAAGAACAGGCACGATGAAAAAACTGATAGTCGAGGGTAGAGTTGAAGGAAAAAGACCTAGGGGAAGATCTTCAAGCCGTTGGGTAGATCAAACAAAAACATTGATTAACCAAGGGTTACATGAAGCGGTGTTAGGATATCTAACTTGCGTTTCGCAGACGACACTACACTTCTAGCCTCTACTCCAGAAGAAATTATTAAATTATTAAAAAAACTCGAGGTAGAAAGTGCTAAATTTGGACTCATGGTTAACTACAACAAAACCAAAATCATGGTTATTGATCACCAACAACAGTTTCCTGAATCCCAAACTATTGCGGGATGCGAGGTAGTCTCATCTATGATATATCTTGGAGCTCTAGTTAACAACACAGGTAGTTGTGAATCCGAAATTAGAAGACGCATTCAACTAGCAAGAGCACCAATGAGTGAACTAAACGGGGTCTGGCGTGATCGTCACATTACTATGACAAACAAAAAGAGACTCGTTTCAACTCTGGTCTTTTCCATATTTTACTATACATGCGAGACATGGACAGTCAAAGAATCAGATCGACGACGTATAGACGCCTTTGAAATGTGGACATGGAGACGCCTGCTTCGAATTCCATGGACGGCTCGCCGTACAAATATCTCGGTTCTGGATGAAATTAAACCGGATCAGCGTCTCTCCAGTACCGTTTACTCTAGAATTTTAAAGTTCTTTGGCCATATCCATCGAAATGATCACAAAATGGAGCGGTTGGTGGTCCAAGGAAGGCCTCAGACTTAACGCCAACGCGAAAGATCTCCACAGAGATGGGCGGACATTACTAAAAAGCTTCTCAATAAACAGTATACTGAGGCAATACATATAACAGATGACCGCGACCAGTGGAGAAATATTATCAATCAAACTGTCCGAGCTGCTGAAGCCCAATTATGAACCACAACACATCTACTAAGATGTTAATGACTGTGATGATGACATGAAGCTGAACAACTAGCCCGGGACAGAGAAGGATGGAGGGGAATCCTAAAAAAACTGTGAAGGCCTGATGGTGTCACCACATCCCAAAAGGGATTAGGACTGAGGAGGAGGAGGAAGAGATAAAATGTTATGACTGGCCTTTTGGCTTTGTCAGTACCGGTAACTTAGCGAAAAAATCGGGTACGATATTGGGCACATTCAACTAGGAATCACTTATCTTATTGTTTAAAAAGCACAAATATCGATGCGCATTCAAGGTGTTTTTTAAAAAAAGTTTTAATTGTTTTATTTTTAAAAATTCTTACCATTCTTTTGTTTAAATGTAAAATATGAAGTGGTATCACTCTAACAATGGTAGTCTTGTCTCGAAACGGTTAATTTAGTAAATAAACAAATTATATTTTTAAGCATTTTTGACCTTTTCGAAGAGAATATTACTTGCAACGTAGTGTTGTTATTTTATATCATGTTTAAAGTTTTTTTTTGCTAGATTTATGAAATATTTTTTTCAATATAAGGTTGAATGTTCGAATAATTAAACTTTGATAGTATACAAGGCAACTATCAAACACAGTGATTAATTAAATCTTGCCCAAGTACTTTCGATGAATAGATCATCTTCAGGGGCATTTTGTCAGTTGTGGCCTATCCGAGATGAGTAGAATGTCATACATGTAAATTTCGACATAACAATACAATACACAAAGACAAAAATTCTATATAACATGTAGCTTCTCCTTTTTAAAAATTTTAAAGTGTTTGTTTGTCTTTGTGTATTGTATTGTTATATCCAAATTTACATGTATGACATTCTACTCATGTCGGATAGGCCACATCTGACGAAATGCCCCGAAGATGATCTATTGATCGAAAGTACTTGGGCAAGATTTAATTAATCACTTTGTTCGATAGTTGCCTTGTATACTATCAAAGTTTAAATATTTTTTTGTTTTCTGATTTTCTTTACTTCATTATGAATATTTTTATCTAAATTGCGAAAATTATATGTACTTAGTCTGTCGAAATATTTTATATTATAGCCGCTATTAACAATGTACATTTTAACTGCGACATAAAGTTACTGGCATTGCTTCATAAACAAATAGCCTTTCAAACATAAAATTGTTTTGACAGTTCTAGGCCAATGCATCGTGCGTTACTTATGCATTAATATGCAAACAAATTTTCTACGTAATAACATCTTTAAATACGTACAGCAGATTTTGCTTTGTTTTTTGAATAATCACAAAAAGTATAAAAAACAGTTTTTAACTATGAAATGTTTCTTATACATTTTAGAGAAAATAGTTTAAATAAAAGTTACAGATCTTTAAAAGTTCTTTAAATTGCGATGCAGAGACGCTTCTTTTTGATGTTATTTATAAATGTTATCTTTGTTTTTTCAATAATGACATGTATCGACCAAATAGTTTATTAAGTTATTTAATTTGTTTATCTCGGAGAGTAACTATAGGTTTGTTCGTAGTAGCGATTACAAACGGTTTGTGATTTGAAATACAGTGCGCATGTTCAGTTGGAAACTGTTTGGAATTAGTTTGTGATTTTGTGCTCTGCGAACACCTAAAATTTGATATTTTGCATTTGTCATTGTTGTTTGCCAAATCTCGAAATCTCCTTTTCTTATTTCTTAAGGCCGTATGACACTATGCATTTTCTTGTATCATTTCTTATATCGTTTCTGATATAGAAAGTTATTTATGTTTTCTTGTATCGTTTCTTGCACGTACATTTTTGCCCTGTATGACATTATGCAAGGTCTTTTACCAGAAATTGTTTGTGATTTGGCACATGATTGGTGGAAATTTTGATACCTATAAAAATAGAACTGCAGTCAACTGTAGTACCTGAGGACTCCAAGCTACTGGAGACTGAGGACATATGCTACTGATTATTTTTTAAAATACTGTGGTGCAAAAATTAAAGAAATAAAATGTCCCAATATTAAAACTAAATTGGAAACCACAATTTTTGAGGATATTCAACAGGCTGTAATGGAAGACAGAAATTATAATTTGGTTGTAATAATTTATTTGTTTTTTTTTTAATTATGTGTTTGAATGGCATGCTCTTGACATTCTACTCTCTTATTTGGAGATATAAAATAATCTTTAAACTCATCACTAATTTTTAGAGCGGTTATTTCTTGTATAAGAAAATGCAGCGGACACAAATTCTTGTATCGTTTCTGATATAATTAAGAACTATACGCTTGTATGACACTATCCATTTTTTTGTTATATCAGAAACGATACAAGAAAATGCATAGTGTCATACGGCCTTTAGAATTCGATCTAATTAGTTTGTTAAATCTTTTTATTCACTTTTTTTGCATTTATTGTTTAATATTATTAGTCGTTTATTTGATTTTATTAGTTTGATTACAGTTTTCTTAGTATATTTTATTTTTTAGTTATACCTATATAGTTGTTATATCAACCCAACATTTGTTTTGTGGTTATAAAATAGATTTATATACAACAACAACACCTCTGCGCATGTCGCTGATTTTTAGTCCGCACAATTGTTGGGGATTTTAACAACCGTTGGAAACCGAATTCTGATTAATCACTTTGTTACTGCGAACAGCAAACTTAAAATTGCCAACCGTCAGAAGTGCTTCTACCATCGACTTCTACGAACGCTAACTGTTAACTGCGCGTGCGCCTGATGGTTGGCAACGGTTGCTGATCGTTCTACGAACAAACCTTATTTAACCCTAGATTACCGGATATTCGTAAATTTTACGATCCGCATACTTCTTTAAGTATGTTCGGCTACTTACGGTCACCGCTCGGCCTTGGGCAGCTCGTTACCTTCTAATTTAGTGTACACCTACATTGGAACCGTATTTCTCCCGATCCGATATCGGGCGACGTCGGCCGACGTCGGATTGAAAACAAACTCAAGGTATTAAATCATAGTGCCTATACTGCTTCCGTGACGAAGCAGTATAGGCACTCTGATTTAATACCTTGAGTTTGGTTTTAATCCGACGTCGGCCGACGTCGCCAGATATCGGATCGGGATAAATACGGTTCCAATGTAGGCGTACACTTAGTCGTTAGCTATAACTGTAGATCGCTATAAATTGTAGATAGTGTCGTGTGTAATTGTACCATCTAAAATTTCTACAATAAGTTTTCACACATTCGTCGTCAATTTTACGAAGCTCCGGTATCTAAAATACGATAGTTTTATTAATAAATGTACATTTTTTTTGGCTATTGCTATGGTCTTCGAATAAATTTTATAGATGTTGTTAGATCAATATTTTATTTTGTATTCTTGTATTAAATATAGATTTTGGAATTTACTATTTTATTTGGGAATACAGACAAAATTTTAGTTTGAAGTTAATTTAATTGACGTTTGGACTTCCACTATGGAATTAATTTCACACTGTTACTTCTGTAACACTGTAATAACATTGTTACTTTATTTCTGAACAAAATAGAAAATTACATGAGATGCCCCAAGGAAATAGCTTTAGAATAATATTTTTTGGATTTCAGTAAAATGGATTCCAAAAGGCCACTGACAGAAAATGAACTGAAAGAAGTGGCTGCGTGTATTATGAATGGTGATGACTTTGACTCAGATCTCTTCGAAGACAGTGACTGCGACTGGGAAGAAGATAATCTGGAAATAGAATCTTAACAATCGGATAATGAAGCTGTCGAAGATTTGATTGTATCTCCTAATTCTAATGAACCGACAGGGCAAGATGCCATTTCGGATATTGAAAAAGTTTCTACGTCGATATCTTGAAAATCAAAGTATGTAGTGGTTCCAATAAAAAAAAGTTTTAAGGGTAAGAATGTCATAAGTGGTCGACTGAAGTTCCCGATAAATCAAGAAGTACAGCTGCAAAAAATCTGATTCACTTCGTATTAGGTCCCAGAGGTACCGCTAAAAACTGTAATACTTTAATAATTGGTTCTTTGTGACCAGATAGCATACAAACACCACACTGATGTTAATAAAAAAATAATTAAATTGTATAAAATTTGACGAAACGTAAACGAGGCAAGAGAGATAAGTAAATTATCCTTTCACTCATACCCGCGAAATATGGACTATTTTCATTGAAATATGCCGCACTTCATATACTTCATCATCATATCTTATAATTGATGAGTAACTGCTAGGATTTCGGGGAAAATTCCCTTTCAGGATGTACATCCCCAATAAACCTTCAAAGTACGGGATTAAGATTGTTATGTGATTCCTCCAGTAAATATGTTAGATGCAAGTCCTTATTTGAGAAAGAAAACTAATACCAATGGTTTGCCACTAGCAGAGCATTATGTCAAAGAACTAGCAAAATCTCTCCATGGATCAAATCGGAACGTCCTTTCCTTTTCCTGGGAATCCACTTTCCTATGTCGATCTTTTGAAAGTACCTTGGTTTCGAAGGGTTGAAGTTTAGAACAATTGGATACAGTTTATAGCTATAAGCTTCAATATAAAGTTTAGATTTTCATTTAATATTTGTGCCAATTTTACTTCTTTATAAACAATGGAGATATGATTTTTTTAAAAATAGTCCCTAACTTCGTTCCTATTGGTCATAGAAGGTTTTTTTTAATGTGAGTTTTTTTACCAGCTATCCAATGATTGTACGTACAAGTCTGTAGCTTAAAAAATATAGAAGATATTACAATGGCTTATAAGTAAAAGACATACCCCTTTTTCAAACGTTTATTTTGTAAATAATTTCGATGAAAACGCAATATGGATTTAATTTCTGAGAGAGTTTAAGTCTTAAACATTATTCCTATAAAATTTGCTTATTATTATCATTAATATCATCAATATCATTTAATAAAAATCACTAATAGAGCAAGTTTAATAGTTTAAATATTTAGCCTCGAAAAAATAAATTAAATAACTTTTAAACCATTCGACCGATCGGGGGTAAATTTTGCACAAATTTAAAAGACGGTAATTCCTGGATGTTCAAATGTATTAATAACATTTTATTTTGTTAATAAAAAAATTAACAAAATTTATAAATTAGTCCAAAAACGGCTATTTTT